CGGCCAGCAAGACGCCTAAGCAAGGAGGCATAGCTTTTGGCCAATACCTGGCCACTGTCTGCAGCGTCTGGCCAACTGCACAGGTAGGTTATTCATGTATTCTTTTTAATGAGGCAGATGTGTACAGGTCAGTATGATTTTGTCATTAACCATTATTACTTTGTTTAGGTCTTCGCTGGGACCTTGTCCCACACTTGACAGTCCCAGGGGAAATCCAAGAGTTTTTCCGGCATGAATTTCACCGCGTGTCAGCACGTCTCGGTATGTTTGAAAATAATGATACATGGTTCTAAACAGTTTTATGAAGGCTTATGAGAATTATATATTTTACATATAATTTCTAATATTATACCCATTATGGTTTTCTACTTAAGCAATATCACACGAGAGGGAGTGATGTTGTACTCCAATATCATCATGGTTTTACTGTCTCTCGACCAATCAGATTGCAGGGCCGGAACTAACTGTTGTATAATAAGAAAGTTGACATTGCCTTTTTAAAATGTGTTTTTCAAAAACTGTGTTTCTTTTCTTGTTCCTTTTTTTTTAAGGTGTGAAATATTTTCACCACGCTGACCGCTTCCCCCTGAACAACCGCAAGCTGTGGTGTTGTGATGGTGTAAGTATAATATATTATTTTCATATCATAAATAGAAAATTATTCAACACAGTATGTTTGACAGTAAAAGTCACATTTTTCAAAATAATATTTAATTTTTTTTTGTCATTGTTTTGTGTTTGTAGGTACACCCCAGTGACGACATGGGGATGCCTATCCTAGTGGAGTCGCTGTTGGCTGCCACCAAACAGCACCTGGAGATACCAGCACCTAAGCCACAGGTGTCGCGCCCGGTGTCTCCCAAGCCTCTGCCAAAGGTGGTTCCACGTGTGATTGTGGTGGGTGAGGTTGTAGTTCCACGGGCCCCCCTCCTGAGTGGACATCTGTACAGTCGGGCAGGAAGGTAAAAGACTGAACTTTGTAAATATGTTTCATGAAATAAAAATAAGGTTGTGAATTGATCCACTTGTTTTTTTGCTTTTTGTCATTACAGAGGAACCACTCTGAATATGAGCATGGCTCTCACAGAGACGAGTGGTTAATCATGTGGTATGTTTAACCATGATATTTACATAACAGTGATAGTTTGTGTGCTTTATCTAATAAAATGACAATTGTTAGAAATAATCTACATGTCTGTCAGGTGGATGGAGCTCCAGTGGCCTTGCGAGAGTGTTTCATTCATATTGTATATGGATTACGCTCATGTAATATCACATAGGATTATGCTTGTGTGGGTCCTAGTCCTTTTTTTTGTTAACCAACTGGTCTTTTTGTGTGTGTTGGGGTAGTTCCTAGGGGGTAGTCTAGCTGTTCTTAAGTGCATTCACAAGACACCCGAAGAAGCCCATAGATATACTGTTTGTGTGTCATAGATGATAGTCAGGTGTCTGGTTATGACAAGTTCTAAGAGACAACTCCGTAGTTCTGGTTGGAGGAGGGTTCCTTGGGGGTAGTCTAGCTGTTTTTTTAAGTGCATTCAATGGCACAAGACATGTTCCTGATCAAATATGTACTGTAATTAATGTATGTAATAATTTGCAATAAAATTGTATGATATTTTACACCCTGGTTTCACGTCTCACCTGAATACTAACTGAACCATGATACTGAACTGGTAAATTGTAATGAATGGGACAGTTTCATCATCAGAAATTGTAAGAATGTTGTAATTTAAGAGTAAAAGTCAAGGAATGAGTTGTTTATATGTAGTCATTGCTTAATAGTAAGACAAAAGTAATGAAGTGGTAATCATGTAGAGTTTCAGTAGTAATTTCAAAAGGGTTGTGCAGCAATGAAAAGTAATTCAATAGTGATGAGTAGTGATAAAACACTACACACACAGAAGGATGTAGTAATTCCATAGGGGTTGTGCAGACATACAGCAGTGAATATGTAAGCATTGTGTAGTAATTCAATAATAAATGTGAAGGAATGAGTAGTGATTATATAGTAATTTCCCAAAATCCAATAGTGAGACAGAAGTGATTAAGTAGCAATTGTGCAGGGATTTGAATAGGCATCATGTAGTAATTCTCAGTAGTGAAATCACCCAATGCATTACTCATTATTATTCAAATCACTACACAAATCACTACACAGCTCAACAGCAATCAAGTAGTGAAGCAGTAGTTTATGTGTAGGTATTTAGTAGTAGTGATGAGTAGTGAGTCAGTAGTGTTTTTTCATGAGGGAACGTGCCCCAGGCACACCATTTAGCTTGAAATCCACAAAACCAGCCTGAAAATGAAGTCTAAAATGACTGCATTAGAGTCAATGGAGCACAGCTGTGTTGTTGTCTGATGCTGGTCTGAGCCTGTCAAATGCTATGCTATAATTGGTCAGTCTGCGTCGGGGGGGCGGGACTTAGCAAAGGGCCAATTCACAGATTGGTTGCACAGATAATGGTGGAATGAAGCAAATAAATGCAATTTACATTTTTAGACACTAAGACATTCAGCTTTTTAATAATGTTCACATGAATTAAAAAAAATGTTACAAAAATATTCAGGTGGTCTTTTTGCCAAAAGAAATCATATCGAATACATTTAGAAAGATTTAAACTAAAACAAGAACAAAAAATGAGAATGCAGGTGTTTTTTTATTAATCAAAACAGAAAAATTATGATTTTACGAGCATTTCATCTACATACCACAGATGTACTGTAATGTGACACATTGATCTATTAATGGCATCTACAGAGAAAAACAGGTTTAGGAGAAATGGTGGTATTTACAAGGTTTACTTATTAAACAAAATATAATACAGGTACATTTCATTAAGCTTTCAGGTGCCCTTTTGAAGAAAACTATCTATCTATCTATCTATCTATCTATCTATCTATCTATCTATCTAAATCAAAATGTGATTTAAGGTTATGAAATTAACCAGAAACAATGAAAAACTGGAACTCACTTAAGATTTTGCAGTGTACAGAGCACAGAATACACATCACCTTGCCCTCAAACAAAAGTGGTGGCGATTGTGACATCAGGTTGACTTTGGTTATCACTGTTGCTGGACGCTCAATACAGGCATGTGTTAGGCTCACATAAACGGAATAATGTGGCGGAAAATAATTCATATCATTATGAAATGTAAACTTAGGTTTGTCAAGCATGAATTTGAATTATAATAGGAATAATTTTTGATGTGGAAGTAGAAAACTTTCTGACTTGCTTGCTAACGCTGTCTGCTAATCAACTCTTTGATCCTAACAGAACATAGTACGCCAGGACTGAGTCCTAAAACCCAAAAATCAGTTAGCATTGTACTACTCACGGTTCCCTTCTCTCAAAGTCAGTGGGTTTCTTGAATGGGTTTTTGGGTAGATGCCTGAAATAAGTCTGAGGTTAACTCAAACTTAACAGACTTTCACCCTTTGCTCTAGGGCATAAAAAGTCAGTTGCTAACAAATGGCTAAATGAGACTAAATCCCGCCGTGCCACTCACAGCTTTAGAGCTTCATTATGCCACTAGGTCATGCAAGCATACTGTAGTTTATTTAGGGCCTTATGTATCTTTGCGATTGCATCTAGGCTTCAAAAATCATAACAAGTGTTCATTTGTGAAGATTCTAAACGTAACGTGAATATCATAAAATTTCAGCTGCCATCCAAAATCCAATGGAAAAATCCAAGGCATTCTCTGTCTGACCTCGTCACATATCGACGTTTGGTCATGGACCTTCTATGTCGACGTATGACCTGCAAGGTACCCTGTGTGTGTTGGTTGTTGACATTCTGGGACACCGTGTCAACTTCAGCCGGCATTGTCTGTTTTCAAAATACACTTCCATTTTCACAAATGTACAGTTTTTACAATTTGTACAATTTGCATATGTTCTCTTTGAAAATTAACGCACTATGTCAGTAAAACACTGCGAATTAATGTCTTTTTCCTTCAACAACAAATGCAGGTGGTGACATTTAGCCAGCACACGCATGTGGTTGGGCTTTTAAAAGAAGAATTTATTTGGCTTTACAATCATAGGGGAAGCAAACACCTGCCTTCTTGGACTTTCACCTCCTTAACTTATGCGGTTGGCTGGCCATGTTACCTCCCTGACTCTGCCAGACCACACCATTCACACCATTATGGTGACCAGCCATGCATCATGCCAATGTAAATGGATGGGGCCAGAAGTCACTGCCTAAGCAGTGGTATTCGATGACTTCGGAGTGAAATTGTGTTAAAATATCCTTTCAGCTTTTTGACGAGGGAACCAGTACGATGCTAACCCCCACGTCGGCCTACAGAAAAACCACTCTGTAGCCTAATATAGTAACTTTCACATCTGCTCATTTTGGCCACTCCAAGGTAATGTGCCTTTTGTTTGTGTTATATAATGTGCATTTTATCCAGGCACAATCCTGCGAAAATGAAGGCTGATGTTAGCATGTTAGCTAACGCTGGAAGCCAGAAACAAACACCTATGATCTGTTGACAGCCCCAATAAGTATTAACCAAAGAAAATCAAATCTATGCTTGATAAACATGAGGTTGTATAACCTTTTTTCTACAACCTAACATTAAGTAGGCTTATTTTCAGCCCTGTTGTGGTGGCAACATTGAAGTCATGGGACGATGTAGGCTTAGTTCGTTTATAGCCTACTGTTAGCTTTACACTTTTTGCGATTGCGCTTAAATAATAATAAAAGTTGTGTCTATTTGTGGAGATTATCTTCCTGAAAACAACTTCTAACAATTATTAAACTTATTAAAACTTTTGTTTACATTGCTTATTTTCTGCAGTCATCCAAAATCTAACAAAAAAAAATCCAACTGGCTTATTGTTGAGGGAACCAGGGCGATGCTAACTCCCTGGTTGGCCTACAAGTAAACATAATCCCTGCACCCCTGAACTCTATCATAGCCTAAATATTGAGATTCTAATTAACTGGAAACAAAACTTTGTTTTTCTACATGCATAGATCATAAACCCATGAATATAAAAGCAACTGATTGAAATTGCTTGAGAATTTCAACATTATTGCGTTTTTATCGAGAAAAACCACAGCTTCCCCATTTATTTACAGGCAAGTCCAACATGGTGGCAACATTGACGTATTGCTGCAATGAGCTAACACATTACTCTAGATATCTATGTCCATGGTCCAAGGCTATATCCTCTCCGTTAAATCTGCACACCTGCTGTCCTATACCTGTCCACCAGATGTCCTAAGACCTTCCCCCTTTCAGCTGACTCTCATTCACCTGCTCATCTGTCGCCACTTTCCCGAATCAGACCCGCAGCATATACCAGCTTCTTTTCCCCAGTCAGTTGCTCATTTGACAGAGTTGACATCCTTCATGCCTTTGCTTGGGAGCCACCAGAACCAGAACCTGACCTAGACTTGGACCAAGTACCTGAATCTGCTAGTAATCCACATGCCTTCAGTAAATCACTGAACTGATCCTGTCTGCCTGATTTGTCTGCAGTTGGGTCCAATCCTGCATTTCTAGAGTCGGGACACATGTTAAAAGTCAGTAGCCATTTTAATCTCAACTTCCAGAACAGGGAGCTAAACATTTTTCTCACAATATTTTTTTTTTACGTGACAACAGCACAATATTGAGGTCAAACTACAGATATTGGTCCTTGTTGTTTCCAGGCGCTTTGGGTTTCTCCAGTAAAAAATACGTGTTGTCACTGAGCTGTGATGAACCTGTAGATTGAGAAAAAATGACAGAATTTCATCCAGTGTCATCTGAGCTAAAGTTACCATCTGTTTCTTCTCTTCTACTTTGGTAATGCAGAATTTTATTTCTGTTATTTCCAGTTTTAACCTCAGTACCTATGTGTTCAAGTTACCTTTATTTTTTTCATCAGTGAAAGTGTTGCCAGTCAAGGAATATGGGGACTCCATACGTAGAGATGTGTCTGTGAGAAGAGATCAAATATAATGAATATATAGTGTTTATAACCAGAAATATTTGTTAAAATGAGAGTGGTGTCTTTACTGGTCTTCTTCTGCACTGGAGGGAGAACTGGGATGGTTGAGTACGAAGGATCATTTTGGTTTGATCCAGCTATTCCAAAATTTGCCAACAAGCATAATTAATCAAATGAAAATACCCGAAGACAGTACCAAAAGGTTGCTAGGAAAATAAAGTTCATTTTTTTTACCTGAAAAACCTGCCATGCAGTATGTGGCTGTTGGTTCTGCCAAGCTTCCTCCACCTGCCCAAATAAAAGGTGTTTTAGGTAGTGTTGTATCTTCTTGTTTGATTTGTAAAATGCAGAAAATATTCATTTTTGCATATGAAGATCTGATTAAGATTTCTCACCATTTGTTGGCTGCAACAAAAATCCATCCTGTATCTCGTCATAGACGTGAAATCTTTCATTTGCTGTGAAAAAGGTTGTGAAAGTCACAATATTAGTAATCCACTGATATCAATTTTTTATTTTTATTTTTTTTTCATGTCAGGTTTTATTCACCTCGTCTTTTCAACCTGCGTCTCTGAGTGAAGTAGATGATGAAGATGATGATGATGACGAGAACAAGAAAGGAGAAAACTACTCCACACACCAAACGAAGAACTGGTTGATGTTCTTTAGAAGCAGCTGGAAGACAAAGTATGAATTAAGAATATTCCGAACAAATAAGACATCATTTACAAACTGTTACAGTTAGTTGCATATGTAATTTCAATACAGTTACATACATTTGATTCTCACGGATATAGAACAAGCCTACCAGCCAGAGGCCCAGGGGCCCACAGTGTCAGACTAGGGGTGGGACAAAAAATCATTTTTGCAATATATTGTTGTGCTCTCTCTTGCAATAAATAATTGATACACTGAAGGCAAATATCAATATTTTATTACAACACACACTCAAAGGATTTCCCTCGTTATCACCGTCAGTACTTAATGTCTCCTGCCCTGTTTGTGGGGGCTCTAATCCCGTAAATGATGGTAAAAACCATAAAGTGGGCGTAAGCAGTGGCCGGTGAAGAAGACGAGTCGAGCAGATGCAACTACAGTGCGGCACAGGCCGCATATTTCTGTCCGAACCTGACAGTCATTCTGATTTGTTATGTCCAAAACCAAACCAAGCCCGACATTATTTAATAACTAAAGCACTGAGTTTGTGTCACACAGTTGTTACGGTTACAGGCTATTTAACAGGCCGGGCATGCGCCGTGTGCTCCGCGGAGAGGGAGACCTCCGTGTTTGAGACGGGAGCGGGCGGCAGGAGGTCTGAGGCTTCCAGCGAGGGGAGAGGGAGAAATATAACAAAATAAGATAAAATAGGAAAAACCTGTCTTCCTCTTTTATTTTATTTTCAGCGTTTAATCAAGGCCAAGGCGGGCGGTGGGAGGCCCGAGACTTCCAGCGAGGGGAGAGATACAAACAATCAGCCAATGTGTGTGTGTGTGTGTGTGTGTGTGTGTGTGTTATGTTCAGGTGTTGTCACGTAAATTACAGTTCCCAAGCAATAAACAGGACAGACAATAATTTTATTTATTTTTGCACTACATTTTCACTGAAAGCTGACCGAATCCGACCCGAGCCCGAATACAATTTATACATTTTTGACTGAACCTGACCCGAGCCCGTCGGGACCCGTTGGGCTCGGATCGGGTAGCCACACTCTAGATACAACAACAGAAATGTGTTAAGTTTTGGAATAAATGCAGATATCGTGTATCATGATATTATCGTTATCGAGGGCCAAATATCACCACAGTATCGAATTGTGAGTCATTCGTATCGTCCCACCCCTAGTCAGGACCCCAGGCCCTCATCTGCAAAATGTCCCTCAAATTACCATACAGGTTATTTGTGGTTGTTTGCCCATTTTTGTGGTTACTTTGTGTCTCGTTGCATCTCTCTACAGATAGATGCAACGAGACACAAAGTAACCACAAAAATGGGCAAACAACAACAAAGACACACAAAACAATTACAAAGAGTTGGAAAGGAACTGCAACAAGACACAACATAGCTATATAAACTGCCAATTAACCACAAAGAGGCACAAAATGACTACAAAGGCATGTAAACAAACTGCAGAGACAAAAAATCTTTACAAAGAGATGCAAAGTGACTGCAAAGAGGCACAAAATAACTAAAAAATGGGCAAAACAACCACAAAGAGACACAAAATGACTACAAAAGGATGCAAATGAACTGCAGAGACACAAAATAACTACAAACATGGGCATAACAACCACAAAGAGACACAACATGGCCACAAAGACATGTAAACAAACTGCAAAGAGGCACAAAACGACCACAAAGAGATGCAAAAGAACTGCAAAGAGACACAAATTAACTAAACAATGGGCAAAACAACCACAAAGACACAAAATGACTACAAAGAGATGCAAAGGTACTGCAATGAGACGCATAATAACTACAAAAACTGGGCAAAATAACCACAAAGACACAAAACAACCACAAAGACATGCAAACAAACTGCAAAGAGACAAAAAATAACTTCAAAAATGGGCAAAATGACCACAAAGAGACAAAACAATCACAAAGAAATGCAATGGAACTGTAACGAAACACAAAATAACTACAAAGAATTGGCCACAAAGAGACACAAAGAAACCAAAAATACAAAAAAAATTACCACAAAGAGACACAAAACCACAAAAACTACAAAGAGACAAAAAATGGTAACAAAAACATAACCAGCGCTAAGTCTGTGTCTTGCTCCTGTAGGAGAGGTGGTGGGACCTTTAGTATATCTGTGCCCGGGGGCCCATTGTCTCATAATCCACCCATGTTAATTCTGTATCTTATAGCTTAGAACTAATGGTTGCATTGTATTGTAATTGTAATGTATTGTAATTGTTGTAAACTGTGTTATACGTACATTCATATGTTCCTGTTGTTGTTGTTGTTGTCGTTGTTGTTGTTGTTGTTGTTGTTGTCATTGGTGTTGATGCCTTCTTACCTCCTGTGTGGGGCACAGAAATACATTTTACCAGCTTTCTAAGACTGATCACCTTATATTTATTTCATGATCAGTTTCATCTTACTCTTCTTGTCCTTTTCACCATGTTTCCTGTTCTGATGCTTTTTCTTTGTTGTAGTTGTATCTGTAGAAGTGGTGGTTCTCAAAGGTGGTGTTGATTGTACAGTTTTTGTTGCAGGGGTAGGTGCTGTAGCTTTTGATGGTGTCGCTGCTGAAATCTGTCTTGTTTTGGGCGTAGGCCTAGTTGTTAAGGTTGTTGGTGTCTTGGTACCTTCAGAGTGACCTGAGAGGACAGGGCACAAAAAAGTACTTTACCACAGAAAGTCATGAGATCATACAGTCATTTTGAAATAGGGGAGGATGTGGGCTTTTTGTGGTGTGTTAGCAAGAGTGTTCTTATGGCTTAAACACACTTTATGTGGTGTGTTAGCAAGAGTGTTCTCATGACTTAAACACATGTAATGCAGACAATGCTGTTTGCTTGACTTGTCATGTTTAGAGATAAATTAACCATTAAGTTTCATTAGTGGGTAGCATTCACCTGCCCTCTTGGTTTAGGATCTTTTTTATCTGTGAAATGAATCAAAGACTGACACCACTCTTGAGTCTGCACAGTAAATATGAAACCACATCCAGTGGCCTGTTAGCTTAGCTTCGCATCAAGACAGGAAACAACCAACAAAAAAACAGCTCATCTGGTTCTGTCCAAAGGTAACAAAATCCATCACCCAACACAGCTAAAGCTCTTTATACCTTGTCATTGCTGCCTTACTTCCACCCATATTATTTGATCTTCTCTGACTTCTTGTCTCTCACCTTTGATCACAGTCAGATACACAGCAGGTTTTCCATCACAGTAGTAAAGTCCAGAGTTACGAAGCTGCACGCTTGTTATAGTCAATGTGTTGTCTATAGGTGAAACATAAAACCCTTTTTCTTGTTGTATATCACCAGAGCCTCTGCTCCATGTGGTATGTGATCCTCCAACATCATGAGGGCATGTCAGAGTGATGGTGGTCCCCTCTGTAGCATCATCTCTGATTGTTCCTGTTATTAACAAACATACTGAGTCAGTAACAGATCCATGTTTTACAATGCACCAACATATCACAGAACACACAGAACAACTATGAAGCATTTTTTGGGGGGTAGTTTTGAAGATAAATAATGTGTTCCGTTTCATTTTAACTAAGGCACATTAAAATCTTTGTAAATGAAATAAAATAAAAACTAATTTAATAGGAATAAACATAAATGCCAAAAATGCTTTCCAGCTACAGTACCAGGGTGTAAATGTGAAACATGAATTACCCTCTGCTGCTGCCAATTTGTGGCAGGAACAGATGGTAATTCATTTTTAAACCTAGTTTTGCGTAAATATTCAAGAAAAAAGTAATGATTCTGTTTTTTTAAGAATGCAAAACTAAACAAAAAAATCAGACATTTACATTTGGCATATTAATGAATGTGGATGCATTTCAACTATTTTTTTATTACCAAAGTTTAAGGAAAATGAAACATTCAGCACAGAAGCGATTCTGAATCAGGAAGAGAAAACAGAAAGCAGAACTCTGATAATGTTTGATGTTACCTGATGGGATCACTGTCAGCTCCACAGCTGGTTCATTGTTACACAAGTATCTTCCAGAGTCTGAGATGGTTACTTTGTGAATGATCAGTGATTTATCTGCCAATGAACTGTACCGATTGCCCGGGTCATGAATGTGTTTTAAGTCTCCGTCACCTCTAACTGTTAGTATGTCAACTTTGTTTCCATGACTCTCTCTACTCCATGTCACTTCACCCTCCACAGAGTGAGGACAACGTAGAGTGGCTGAGGTCTTTTCTTTAACTATTTCATGGAGTATTTCTGCAAAAGAAACAACATTTACAATGAATAAACACTCGTTTTTGGACTGCCGGGATTCCTAACATTGCAATAATTTTAAAAAAAGCTTTACCATCAGAGTGAAAATCATATTAACTGTTCAGTACACTGGGTGCTCCCTGAATGTTAACTTAGTGTTCCTACATTACAAACAGACAACAAACTTAAGCCCATGTGAAGTGCCAAAAACTGCAGTTCCTCTAATGAGCACTTGAGGCAGTCAATCCCTATAGACTCCCATGTTAAAATGCCCAACTTCACAGTAGAAATAAACATGTTTACAGCCTGGTGCAAAAGAAGTTTGTATGGAGGGTTAACTCACCTGTCATTACATCTATAGTTATGCATAACTTTAGAGCATGGACACTCTGAGTGACAGGTAGGCACTCTCTGTTTATAACCTTGTTTAGCTCTATTTCCGGGGTATGAAATTACCCGGATGATCAGCGTTGCTTCCGTATCATTGGGCCAACAAAGCAGGTGTAGTAGACTTGCTCTGGTCGAGACAGCTACTTCAGGTTTAGCGCTCCACTAACTTGAATGGGGATAAATTGATTTAATCTTGTGGCTCTTAAAGACTTTCCAAATGTTATCAGACCTCATAGTGAAACATATCATTGTGCAGGGATTGTCACGTTTCAAAAAATTTAACCATAAATTTACAAATGTCTCTTCCTTAATGTCAGTTAATGGGAGGAAGGCTTTTTGGGTCAAATGGCATCACATGACAGACCTGGGAGTTGCAGTGTTTGTTTACAAAAAGGTGACATGTCCCCCTCAATATCTGAGATGTGCAGTTGCAAATACAAAGACAAAGTCACTGATGACTTTCATTTTGACAAGATTAAATACATTTACACATTTAATTATTACAAAAAAGGCACAAATTGGTGCATAAAAATCCAGTGCAGGAAATTAAGTGTTTATTTTCTTGCAGCTGACCCCCAACCCTGTATTTCAGTTGTATCCCCCCTCCCCCCGTGTTGATATGACACCTACACCTTTGTCTCAACATCTACATAAGTGAAAGTGGAGCAAACTGCCACCAGGTTTTGGACCCAAAGTTCAACTAACTTTATCTTTGACTGCTAAATATGCACTGTCTGCAGTGTGTGTCAGCGGGATTTTGACTGACAGTATGTGGAAACGTTAAATATCTGATAACTCCATTTTGTGAAACCAACACTTTCATCCTGACACATAACATCTACTGGCATCGGCTGATGAATGAATATCTGATTAGATATGAGTTTAGAAAATATTTATTTGCGTAATCTGAATTAAAACTTAGTGTATGTGTCGCTGAATGATGGAGACTGTTTACACACTTCCTGTAGTAGTTTAAACTTGTAACCTCACACGAACAACTGCTGTTGAATTTCGTTCTCACATTTAGTCGGAGTTGAACTACAAACATCACATGCTCTCGGAAATAAAATAAACAAAATTAAACACCAGTATTAAAACTGACGAGACAGAATTGATGAATTTGAAAGGTCCTTACCTGCGGTGACATTACAGCCCAGCAATAAGGCGAGCAGGCAGATACTCAGCCTCATCCTCATACAGACTGAAAAGACTGAACAGTGACCACTGTTTCCATCTGAAGCTAGAACAGGAACTCAGCCTTCTGGGTGTATACATGTTCTTCCTCTATAAAAAACCACAGTGTCAACTCAAATCATGGTTTTTGCATATTTCCTCCTCAGTGAATGCTGATTACTGCTTCCTCTTATTTGAATAAAACATCATTCACAACACATACAGTGCCAGAACTAGACAGTGACTCACATAACATTATTATCTATTTATATTTTTAAAATCAGACACACTGTTTATGAGAGTGATAATCTCAGTGATGCACTTGATGTGAAAGTGTTTACTTCTGCTGCATTACTGCATGTACACTGCTGCAGTACAAGTAGAATCATGATGATGTCACCTGTATTATCTGATCATAGAAGATGTAACTGTTAAAAAAAAATATATTTTCACCTCATAAAAATGTTTTTAAAAAAGCGATGTCAATTCAAGCAGACACAAAGCAAAGGATTATCTCAATGGAGCCGCGTTTGTGTGCATGTGATGAATCCAAGCCCAACTTTACTCTTGTTTTAGCTCTTGTTTGGTGTTCACCAACTCCTGAGGGAGATATCTGCTCTTTATCTTATGATATGAAATGATGTCTGTTTTTTTTGCCTGTTGTATTTGTCTTTATTTCAATCAGGAGAGACAGAAGAATGAAATGAAGATGAATATGAAATATGAGTGTACAGATCAACAGGTGTGTCGCTGTGCTATTGGTTGATTGTGGATGAAGACAATACCTTTGTATGCTTAGGTTGTAACTTTCTTCCTCACCCTGCCATTCATTCCTTTTAGGCATACTCATGCTCTATCTCAGGCTGTCAGTGCTCTGGGCTGTCAATTGAGTCATCAGCTGTTCTAAAGCTGATCCACAATCAGTAGCACAGCGACACACCTTCTCCGCCAGCCTATCATCTCACTGCTCCTCATTTTATTTATGGTTCTTAGTGCTTTCATGCTCCACCTCCCCATCACCACCTAATCTTCTCGGATGAAGTCTCTAGTCGCCTCAGCAGTCGTCAACCAAAGTCATCAGCCCCCACCACCTCCACCAGGGTCTAGACTCCATGGGGGAATTATCTTGCTGCTGCTCAGATGTCCCATGATCACAAATAATCTCCCTCTGGTGTCTAGGCACCAACAACTGTGTTCTCTTATGTTCCACATTAAACTTTATCTTTATTTCATTCTTCTATCCTGATTGAAATGCCTATAGTATGTTCAGCTGAATTAACCACTCTCTGCAGGGCTTTGCAGTCCTGTCCGGTGCTGCTTCCATGCCAGGCCATGATATTACCTGTCAGGACACTCTTGATGATGCAGGAATAGAAATTCCTCAGTATTTCAGGGGATACCTGAATTTCTGTGGCAAGAGACACACTCATCCCTCAGATTCAGCCACAATTCAATGAGCAAAATGAAAGATAAATAAATGGAACAATAGGAGCAGACAGCATGACCTGCTGAAAAAAGAGACACAAACAAAACCACTGAAGTTTCAGATAGCAGCCGTCCAGTCATGTGACCAATTGCAAAGATGCAACATCATGTTTTTGTGGTGGGGAAACATGAAACTAAGTGGTATAAGCTGGAAACAGTTTGGTAGTTTTTCTTCCAGCTGCAACAGAAAGATTGGAGCAGTAAAACACAAGTTGACACTTTATTCCTTTGTTAACCATCTTTTTATTTTATTGTAAATACAGGTGAAAAATGTACAAGAAAGCCAAATAAAGAGGGTATAAGTCTGTCTTTAAAGCATAACTGTGTGTAATACAAAACTATTTTTAACCTCCTGAGACCCGAGCTCTGTTGGTATGCATTTTAGTAGGACCTGTTAAAATAGCTTAGCATCGTCTTTGAACAATAAGTCGTTTATTAAAAAGCAATGTCCTCATATAGTGACATTGGGTTTAGTCAAAAGTGTAAAGAATTAAAAAACAGTTTCTTTTAATGCCTGAACATGGTTGTACAAAAATAAAATTACAAACGATGAAACACTTATTCAGTGTTTTGTGACTGTGTGGGTTGGGGGTCACTGCTCAGAACTGTTCATTTTAATGCCTGAACATGGCTGTTCCAAAACAAAATTGCAAATAATGTAACATATCCAAATATCCTGTGATTTGTTTGTTTTTTTGACAATGTTTTTCCCTGCTCAATACTCCGAGCTAGGCATGACTGCGATCATAGACCGCGGAACCGGGGGGGCCAGGGGGGCCAGGGGGGGCCATGGCCCGGGTAACTTTTGTACTCTGACATAGAGGGCTGCATTGGGACCCGGCGGGACCCAACGCAAATAGTAATAGTCATTTTGATCCACACGCCACCATTTGGTGGCGGTAATGGGCCAATTCGCTGTTTGCCAACCGCCATTAAACAGTAGAAGAAGAAGAAAAATAAGTAGAAGAAGATGTAGCCTAGCGACGGGATGTCAACACAGGAACTTGGTGCACATGCATGAGCGTTTCCACTCCATATTTATTCATAAATGGACGAATATGCCTTGAACCAGCTTTCATACCAATTTGCCGCTTGCTCCACCTGTCTATCTGTCTGTCTGTCTGTGTGTCTGTCAGCTCCATCTGTCATGAGACAAACATGAAAGAAGACGTGCAGTTTATTGTGTTTGACCGGCGACGAGCTGTCATTATGCGCGACTATTACGCACGTCTGCGTGCTCTTTATAACTCACTGTGTGAACCTATGTTGCATAATAAAGATTTGCCCCCTCGTAATTTTTAACCGCCCCCTCAGTAACTTCATCCTGGCGCCAGGCCTGCCTTAACCTCAATCACTGCGTGATTATATAAAGGTAGAAAAATAGCCTAAATAAATACAGAGGAGGAGAATAGAATATGAAACAGCCTTTATTTCATTAAAAACTAAATGAAAACAATAAAATAGGAGCACTACTCCTGACCAGTGCGTCAAAAGACATGCAGACCAGGGAAACGAAACAAACAACCCCATGAATCTCTTTATTAATAGCCTATAAAATGACATGTTTTGTGCTGCGGGACGGGAGAAGACACAAAATCAATGCATCTCTATTACTGTGTGGGCATAAATTCTCAGAGTTTTGCGGGAGCGGGCGGGAGTGGACATACACATTGCGGGAGCAGGCGGGAGTGTAACACACACGTTGTGGTTGCGGGCGGTAATGGTCAGAAATTCAGCGGAGCGGGCAGGAGCGGGATGAAGAAAACAGTCCTGCGCAGGGCTCTACTTTGACAAACTATTTTATATGAATAAAAGCCTAAGTTGTAGCCTATCTGTGTTTTTACGAGCCATGTCACCACACACCTTCACTCATTCTCACCAACTGCTGCCGATAAAAAAAACTCCCACTGACTGCTGTATATTGATTTGATATTTGTGTGCCTATCAAGTGCATTGTTTATCAATACGTCATGCATGAGCGTCGCGAGCTAACGGCGGGCACCTGCGCTGGCTGCATCTGGGAAAATGAAGAGACAGAAGTCGATATCTGATTTTCTTCAAGTAAACAGAAAAAACAAAATGATCAAATTACTCCAGCTTCCACTGTGGCCTCATCTGTGCGTTTATGTGTAAATAGGCATGGCCTGTTGTGTGTGAATGTTAGAGTGGGATCAGAGGGATTAATCTGAGCAAGCATGTGTTCGTGTTCATGCGTGTACTGTAGATGTGACTGTGTGGCGTCGGAATAAAAAAAGTGCTCCACAACGTTATTTAATACATCAGTAATATTGTCTGTTTCAATGCATATGCCCCCCCACCCCCTCCGCGTGACTTGAAATTATG